GCTATGTCCGTAGGACACACCGATCATGGAGATCACCGTGTACGCGCCAGTTTTTGCCATCTGTGTTCCATTGGGGAGATTTCCCTTCATTTCCTGTCCCATTGCCAAACAGAAAACGAGAGGAAATCGCTCCAAAGTGAGGGAATCTCTGGCTGTCACCAAAACTAGTGTACCCAGTGAAGATTTCCCCTTTATTCCTTTTCTGATTAAAATTTTAAAATTGTTTTTTACTTCCACTTTTTGTGATAACAGTAAACAGGACAAATAGAGAGGGTAGCTCTTCCTAATGAGGGCTCGGACAACAATAAAAACTGATGTTCTAATCACTCTCCACTCAATCCAAAATGAAACAAAACAAAAATTGCCTTTAGGTATGTTTTAATGTACAGTAATGTGTTAACATATTGCATCACACTGCCCTGATGGAAAGGGACCCTAAGTATAACTAAATTTTCAATAAATTTTGCATATTTCTACTTGGTTTTGTAACTTGAAAGATTACCACAATAATGCGTTGCCTTTTCTAAACAATAAATCCAGCAGTGTGGGTTAGTCTGGTGTCTGCTTCCATCTTTGCTGTAAAAAAGGCGTTCTAAGTACCCACCAGAGAATTCAGTTTGGAATCCCACTCTGCATAAAACCGAATGAGCAATTGGTCTGCCTAGAGCACAGCAGGATGTACTCAGCGCCAGAAGACTGCAGGACATATTGCTGCAACCAGGAATTATCTTCTGGTAAGGTAACCCATTATAGTGGCATTTTTTCAGAGGTTGCTGGGACGAGTCCCAATGTCGGGCTTAATGAAAAGGCAGCCACGCTTTAAGATTTATAGATGGATAACAGGATAAGATTAATTTTTTACTTGAACATTTACTAATGTCCAGATCCTTTTCTAAACATAGTAGGAGGAAAGATTTAAATGGACAAAAGTGCAAACAAAATACAAAATATATAACACGTCCTCATGACTTACCCTGTCAAAAGGTAAACAACATGCAAACTGTTCTATAATAAACATTTGTAGCTCTACAGCTTTAGTGACATTACATAAGGTAGGATACTGTATCTCGCATTGAGCAGGTAACTAAATTGTAGAGAAATCCTTACTGCAGGGATACTGGTCCACTTCCTGGCTTTGAAACTTTGACAATGCAGTGGTTATAGCTTGAGAGAGGTTCTTCCACTTCATGTGATATGATCTCTAACGGGGAGATCATATTAAAAGCAATAAAATAACTTTTCTCAGTGAGGAGGAGGGAGAATGAAGTGGGTCCTCAATGGTAGCTTTTTCTATCAAGTTCATCCGGGAGACCCAAATCTATTATCTACCAAAGTGCCAGAAATTCGGAGCCAGAAAGAGGACCAGCATCCTTGCAGTGAACCTTTCTCTGTGGGCCAGCAGGTCGTACGATATGAGACATACTTCTTTACAGGTGTAGGGCTAAAAATCATTTTTGCTAAACTTCAGCTTTAAGTTTCCATTTATTTGATACAGTATATGATCGTGCTATCATAGTAGAGTTTGCATGTTTATGGTTTTTGTTTTTTTTTGTTTGTAAGTTATGAGGATCTATTACACATATTTTGTATTTCAGAGTACTTTTTGTTTAAATTTTAAGTTCTGCTATGTTTTTAAAAGTATTTGGAAAATAGTTGAAGTCAAATCCATCTCATCCTGTTATCTTGCTGGCTCAGGAAAGATCTTGACCATATGGTCAGGATCCACCCAGGAGCCTGGACCAGCACCTGGCTTAGCTTCTTAGCGAGCTGCTGAGAGCCTGAGTCAGCCGCTCTCGCCCTCTCCACAGCCAGCGCTCCAGTGAGACCTGGAGGGCAGAGCAGATGGCAGTGACTGACAGTCACCACTCTTTGCTCGCAGCAGTGGGGAGAACTGAGTGATCAGCGGTGTCTGATCCTTCCAGCTCCATAGTACAGCTCTAACTTTACAAGTAGTCCCTCTGCATTGCAATCTGTTTGATGCTTTGAGATAGTGGGTCAGCAAGCCCAGACCAAGATTTAGCAGTGATCTGGCTGCAATCTACTGGTAGAAGTTTTTCTTACTGCTGCGGGTCTCTGGCACCGCCATCTTGGATATGGGAGCTGGCTGTATATTTCTCAGAAACCATAGATGGCATCCCACTGTGCATGTGTGAGCTCACACGGTTATTTGTAAATTGTTCTGCAGCCTCCTGGGACATTTTAGGTTTCCCAGGAGGGGGCAGGGCAAAGGACATCATCCTTATCTTAGGCGAGGATTGTGCAAGTGTGAAATGGATACTGATAGAAAAATTGGTACTTGCTCCCCATCCTCCACAAAATAACCTTTAACTCAGTTACAGGCTGGGAGAAGGGAGTGAACCAGAAGGCCTTCAACTTTTTTAATGAAGTTCAGCTTTAAGTAGTGGATGTGTATAGATTACTTATAGACAATAGGAACTTTTTGTGTCACTTTAAAGGCTGCTAATACTGACCACACGTCTAAACATTTAGCCAGGTATCTGGCAGTCATGCTGACCCTATAGCTTCAATATTCAGAGTCACTGACCTGGAACAAGTATAACAATAAGAACTTCTTACTTTTCTAATCTGCATACTTTTTCCATGTCCATGATTCAGAAATAATGAAGTCAGTGGGGTCAGACAGGCAACTAGCATTTTAAGAAGGTCAGCAATGGTAGTCTTTGTATTTTATGTCGTGCAAAGATTACTTTTAGCATTTTGTAATGTCTTTTTTTATTGGCCAAGACACTGTACTGTGCTCTTTCCTTCTGTCTGCTTCTCAGAAATGCATTTGTGTGTTGCTTCAATTAACCTTTTTGTACTGCTCATAGTAACCTTCTACTTCATTTAATGAAGTAGAAGTGCAGAAGTACTTTAGATATATAGGTCTGTTTTTTAAACAAACAGTAGCTGTAACTGCCAGTCGAAAAAAATGGCTGACCCTGTATGTCCTGTACTTCATATATAACATTACCTATTGACAAGCTTACATTTCAGTAGCAATTTTAAAATCCAGATACCCAGTAAAACAAAAAAAAAATCACGTGAATTTATTTTCTACTTTTAGACAGCAAGAATATACATTTTTTTTTTTTTTTACAAATGTGTAATTTACAGGCAATTTAGCTGCATTGCCACAAACCACCTTCTAACTGTGGAACAAGAAGTTTTAATTACAAAATTGCAAAGCAGATATGAAATGTCATTTGTACCCTTTTACACGTGTCTCTGGAGTTGACCCTTGTTAAAAGGCTGCAAAAGATGCACTATTACAAGTTCTGTAGGAATCATGACAACATAATAATTTACTACCATTACTTGTTTTTAAAGCTTCATCCCTAACTTATACAAGCCATTTCAGACAAGCAATTGTGTTACAGAATTAAGCCAACCATAGATGGATCAAATCTAGGCCAGTTCAGTAGAGACCAGCCGAGGTTTGATCCATCGATTGACTTGGGTACAACCAGCATGTTTGACTTTTTAGCATGCGATTATTGCCAGTGGCTATAGCTGCTAGCAGTAATCATTGTGTTCTCCCAGCAGGGGCGTCTCCCTGTGCACCCACCAGGAGAACACAATAGCTCCATGGGAGGGACTCCCCCATCAACACTGACTGTGTTGATGGGGGAATCGAGCGATTTTTCTTTCCTGCAACTCATGGTTGCAGGAAGGAAAATTGCATACTCTACTGCTTTGACTAAGTCAGCTAGTTGTCAATATTGCTATCAATTGAGATCCTGCAGCATTATGGGCCAATGAGGGAGCAATTCCTTTAAGATAAGTGGTTCCCTTCCCTGAGCAATTCTGCCACTGATGATGTGTTGTCAGTGACTGAGTTACCCATAGAACATCAGCTTTGCTTTATTTGCATATACTTTCAATAGTAGCAGTGAAGATTGGAAGTCAATATGCCTTTAGGGCTGTATTCACACTCAAAAACACTCAAACTTCAAAAATCAGTTCTCTTTGGTGCCTGTTCACACCTGATCATGCGAACAGGCACCATAGAAAACAATTGATTTTTTTCAGTTTGAGCTTTTTTGGAGTTTCGAGCTTCAAGCTACAAATCGCTCAATTGTGAATGCAGCCTTGCACCATAAGGTAACTGTATGCCTATCACAGAAGCAGCGCAATGGGGATAGGTTGCAGGGAAGGTAAGCTTGATGGGGTCAGCCATATTGTTTATGCAGCGTTGTGACCAGTGACCCCAAACTCTTATGCAATATAATCCTATGTTGAAATGGGTGAATATTATGATACTGTATCAAACTTGGCTACCTTGAGTCAATGTGAAATAAGAGGGTTTATATTTACCTCTGCTTCACTGAATGGGTCTGTTTACGTTCAACACTTTGAAGGTGTCCTATGCCCATGATATGGGGTTCCGCCTACATCTTTACGGTGTCCCAGTATATAGGAGCTAGAGGGAGGAACTGCAGAAAGCTGCAGGGGATCATGGTTCAAATATATGTGGAAGTGGGTCAGATGTGGAAGATCATAGGAACAACTGGCACGATAAGTGAATATAATCCCTCTGCTTTTGCAGGTGGGGGTGTGGTTTTTTTTTTGTTTTTTTTTTAGAAGTACATACAGGTTGTGCAATCTCCATAGGCGGGTACATAGCAAGCATTACAGGAATAGCAAATATGTATGTATCAGCTTATCTCATCTAAAATCAATGGTGTCTCCAATCCGGCTGTCAAGCTAAAGCTTGTTTTGTTTTTTTTTTTACTGAGCAACGGAGTCACTTTAATTGATAGAGATTCTTTTTTTTATCATAGCACAATTATTTTAGTTACACTAAGTAAAATTATATTCCAGATTACATTATCTAAATTATATAAATAATATAATTGCATTGATTTTCAGAGAACCAGCCAGTAAAGAGGCGAAAAAGACGCAGGCAGAGGAAGAAAGAAAATACTGCATCCCATTCTTCTTTTGACAGCAGATACCACCAGCAACCCACAGAGGATCAACCTCTGAAATCTGAAAACATGTTCATCAATAAAAATAAAAGGAGAAAACTACAAAGAAAGAGGCAGAAAGAAAGGTTGAAAGCAGCTGGCCTTTGGCCAAAGATAAAGAGTGTAGAGTTAACAAATCAGCCTGAGACAGGGATGGCGAATGCAGTGGAGCAGTCCATTGCGCAAAGCGAGGAAGAGCTGAAGAAAACAGAGGACTTGTTGGATTTCCTGCAAGCTACTCAAGAGATCTACTTCACTGAAAGTATGTTACATATTTTGTTTCTGTATACTTCTCTGAGATGACTGAAATAATTAAAAATGCTGCAGCTATATTTAACTTGATTACCGCCTGGATTTTTTCAAGGAAAATGTGTTAATGTTAAGGCTTTTCTTTTATGATTTTAAACCTTTTTCACAAGTGAAACCACTAATTTTATGTATTAATGAAAAATATGTGCCCACTACCAAAAAAAGTTTTCTTTTTAAGATAATACTCTTTTGAACTGCACTACAGTTCTTTGGAATGTAGATTATTCTTTTTTACTATAATAAGATCACCTTCCTTTTCATCTCTGCAATAGGGTATGACAGGAAAACCATTCAACAGTTAGTGCCACCATATAAATTATCTTTCTATAGCAAAAGTAAACATTTCTTGTCATTTTCATATCTTGGGTTGAAATTGTAGTTCATGAGTGAATACAGAATGATCTGCCCAATGGTTCATTCACATTCACTATAAATTTTTAGGTCCATTATTTGATCATATCACTCATCTCTCGTTTCTAGATAGCTGTTTGATGTAGAATACCTGGAATTATCAGGTTGCATTATTTAGAGTTAAAGTGATTATGAAGCCTAAAGTTTGTTTTTTTTTTTTTTTCCCCCTCTCGTCTTTCAGGACAGCACCTGGAGAGACCTCGGCTCCTCCCCACCTGAGGAAACACCTCCTGCCTAAATAAAAACTCTGTCACTCCCCTCCGACCTCAGTTTTGTGTTTCCTCCGGTGGGGAGACATCTTTTGGAGGCCTCACCAGGTGCTGTCAGGGGACAGCGGTACCTAGTTTTCCTTGGTTGGAGACAGGGTAGCGTGGGGTGAAGGCCGGAGAGCCGGCTGCTATCCCCCAGTGAACGCTGCAAGGGCAGGGCTGCGGCCTCTGTGGGGCAGAGAAAGGGCAGCACTAACCTGTCGGCCACCCCCCGGCCCCCTCCGGAGAGTTGCGGGAGCCAGGGCGTTAACGTGCGGAGGTTTGGAGAGATCTGGGGAGGAGTCCTGCTCCTCCCATACATGCCAGCATTGGAGCGCGCCGGGCCAGATGACGGGAGATGTCCTTTCCGGCGGAGGGGGCGGGGCTTCTCCTGGGGTCGCGGCTTCCGGCCAAGGCCCTGAACACACAAGGCGGCGGCAAGATGGCGGTGCGATGCGGTAGCCTGTGGAGACGGGCGATACCACAGAAGAGGTGACCACCCTCCTGAGCAATGTCCGGAGCAGAGGCACCGGGAGCAGAGGCACTGGGACCAGACGAGGCCAGGCACAGGTAGGTGACTCAGTGGAGTTTTTCCCCTACCTCCAAGGGGTGTTCCCGGCCCTCTTTGTAGTCAAAGGGGCTAGGGCAGGGGGGGGCGGTCTATACAAGGTCAGGCCCTTGTTCCCTGCCAGGGAGGAGAAGGGGGGCGGCTGGGCAGGCAGCTTGGATATTACTGTTACTGTGGAATTTTCCGGTGGTCAGGGAGATCACGACAGACGCGAGCACCCAGGGATGGGGAGTGCACCTGGAGGAGTCCGTGGTACAGGGCGTGTGATCTCGAGAAGAGAGAGGGGAATCCTCAAACTGGAAGGAACTAAGGGAAGTTTGGAAGGCCCTTCGTTCCTTCCAGGGTTTGATTGGGGGCCATCATGTTCGCATCCTTTCGGACAATGCAACGGTGGTGGCCTATGAACAAACAGGGAGGGACAAGAAGCAGGTCCCTCTGGGGCCTGATGGCGGTGCTACTGTCATGGGCAGAGGTGAATCTAGCCTCCTTATCTGCCGTCTACCTGAAAGGGGAATTAAATCAGGTGGCCGATTTTCTAAGCAGACGGCAGTTGAGAGAGTCGTGGGTTCTCAATGGGGAGGTTTACCAAACCATTATAAGGAAATGGGGGTCCCCAGCCATAGACCTATTTGCGTCGGGTCAGAACAGCAAAGTCCTGATGTTCTTCTCACTAAATCGATGGGACGGGGCTCGGGCGGTGAATGCGCTGGCGCAGAAATGGGACTTTCCCCTATGTTACGCTTTTCCCCCGGTTGCCTTACTGTCGGCAGTTTTGAGAAAATTCAGAACGGAGAGAACCTGTCTGATCTTAATAGCTCCGTATTGGCCCCGACAAGCGTGGTTCTCAACGTTGAGGACCTTAGCAATTCGGCCACCTTGGGTATTACCTCTATGGAAAGACTTGCTATCGCAGGGCCCGGTCCTATGTCCCAGGGTGGAGAGATGGAAATTGGCGGAGTGGTTTCTGAGGAACAACTCCTGCTAGCGAAGGGATTCTCAGCCAGGGTAGTGTCCACACTCCTAGCTAGTAAGGACACCCAAGCCATCTACAGGAAGGTCTGGAGGTGTTTTAATGAGTGGTGCTCCAGGGCCTCGGTGGATACCTATAGCCTGGTATCGGTTCTACAATTTTTGCAGGCGGGGGTCGATAAAAGGCTAGCGGTCAGCACGCTTAGGAGCCAGATATCGGCTCTAAGTGTGTTCCTTGAGTCCCCTTTAGCAAAGGAAGCATTGGTCGTTTTTTAGGGCTCTGTCAAGACAGAGACCGGCAGGAAATAGACCTTTTCCAAAGTGGGATTTGTCGAGGGTACTTAACGTATTAATGGAGCCGCTGTTTGAGCCCTTAGTTTCCAGCTCCCTGAGGGCCCTCATATTCAAAACAGTCTTTTTGGTAGCAATCACCACGGCAAGAAGGGTGAGTGAGCTTGAAGCTCTGTCAATCAGAGCACCTTATTTTCAGATTTTTTCAGATAGTGTTGTGTTCATGACGGATCCAGCCTTTGTTCCTAATGTGGCCTTAGATTTTCACAGAGGACAGAATATTGTTTTAACTTTATTTTGCCCTAACCCTTCACGTGAAGGAGAAGTAAAATTTCAAGCCTTGGATGTGAGAAGGTGTGTGCTCTTTTACCTGGATAGAATGAAGGAATTTAGTGAAAAACCGTTTCATTTTTTATTTCTTTTGCGGGGGCCAGGAAAGGTCAAAAAGCCTCCAGACGCACGGTGGCTAGATGGTTGAGATTAGCAATAGGGCAGGCATATCGGGCCGAGGGTCTAGAGGTCCCAGAGGGCATCAGGGCGCATTCTATGTGTGCCATGGTGGCCACACAAGCGGAACAAGCAGGGGCCTCCCCGGGACAGATCTGTAGGGCTGCAACTTCGTCCAGTTATGGGACCTTTGTTAGGCATTACAGACTCGACCTGGTCTCGGTGCAAGAGCAGGCCTTCGGACGTAAGGTTCTGCAAGCAGTGGGCCCACCCTAGGGGTGAGTACTCGCTTATCCTCTCAAGGTGCTGTCCTGAAAGACGAGAGGGGAAAATCAAAGTTACACTTATGGCAACGCCTTTTCCAGTAGTCTTTCAGGACAGCACTGGTTACCCACCCTCTGTTGTATAATATTTATAAGAGATGTCTTATTGTGTTTTTGTGTCTCATGTTATGTCTCCCCAGGTGACTGGAAGTGCTATGCCAAGAACTGAGGTCGGAGGGTTTTTTTTTTTTTTTTTTTTTAAACGTAAAGCATAAGTTCACTTTTTAGCAAAAAAAAAAATGTAAATTTTTTTTTGCAGGTAAACAAATTAGCATTTATTATTTTTTCTTTCTGGAACCTGTAAAGCATTGCACCAGTGATCAGCAGAACGCTGGTGCCATGCAGGTCTCCCTCTGACCTGTCAGTGTATCTGCTTGCTTGTATATACTGACAGGAAGACTGTGCAGCGCCATGGTAGTTATTTGAGAACTACAAGCCAACAGTCACAAAGGCTGTCAGAACATGTAGTGTTCTCATTCACAGATTCAAGCTGCTGTGAGGAGGGAACAGGGCGTGGCTTACTGGCACTGTGTGTATCTGTGGACACACACAGCCCACACGCACGGTTGCTTCCTTAGCACCCAGCTTGCTAAGGACACACCAGGAGTAGGGAGAAGTGGACAGCGCTAGCAGGGGACTGCCAGAAGAGGAGGGAAGTGACCTTGCTACTGTTGCACAGAGTAGGTATTCTCTTTTTTTTTTCAATTTTAAACCAAAAAAGCCTTTAGTATAGCTTTAGGAATGCTCCTTTCTGACACATCATACAAATAATTGAAAATCCTCATACATGCGAGGTGTGACGATTTAATTCCTGGAATGGACCATTTAAAAAAAGAAAAAAAGCATCAACCTCCTCTGCATTCTTCAAAAGATTGGATTAAATTTGAAGACAATGTTCTTTCTGATTTTCTGCCAAGATTGGAGGAGCCATCTTTGTGGAAATCTTTCTCATCCCAAGATCCTCGATTAGAATCTGCCACTCTGTTTCCCTGTTCATGTTCAATTCTTCTGCCATCGTTCAAACACTCAATCTTTGATTGGAGCATACAAGGGTTTACACTCCGTCCATATTTGCATTCATCCTTTGCGTTTTTGGCTGCCCAGTTCTTTTCATCGCAGACATCTTCCTGCTCCTCCTTAAACTGCTGATGCCATTCAGAAACACTTTATTTCTTCATGGAATGTTTACTATAAGCCTGTTGTAACAGAGCTAAAGTTTCACTCTCACTTTTTGCTAATTTTTATACAAAATTTGATGTTAATCCACTGCTCCAGTTTACCATTACTCATTTTCCACCAACAGTGCAATGTACGCATGTGTTATTTCTTTTACTAGTCCATAAAAAAAACGGAGTCAACTGGTCTGTGACCCAGGCAAGTGTAAGTTAGAACATGTCAGAACACGCTTGAGTGTGACTCGCCACCGTAGTGCTTTGCTAGGGACATTCCGGGATTTAAATTGTCACACCTTGTACATATATAGTATACACAGGAACAGTAGATGAACAAGTTAAATAAAACAATTACAAGGAATATGTCATGAAAGGAATATGCTGGACACCTGCTGAAATCTCTAGCTTCCTGGCAACAGGTCCTTTGTTTAGCAGATTGAATTAATGTCTTAGGACAGTGGTGGGCAACCTTTTTTTTCAACTGAGCCAAATCTCGCCAAAACCACGATTGAAATTTATTTTGAGAGCCACATTTTTAAAACTGAAAATACATCCCCCATATAGTAAGTCATCCCCCATAGTAATTCATCCCCCATATAGTAATTCATCCCCCATATAGTAATTCATCCCCCCATATAGTAATTCATCCCCCATAGTAATTAATCCCCCATATAGTAATTCATCCCCCATAGTAATTCATCCCCCATAGTAATTCATCCCCCATAGTAATTCATCCCCCATATAGTAATTCATCCCCCCTATAGTAATTCATCCCCCCATATAGTAATTCATCCCCCCTATAGTAATTCATCCCCCCCATAGTAATTCATCCCCCCCATATGGTAATTCATCCCCCATATAGTAATTCATTCCCCATATTGTGTGAATTCACTTACCTTTGCTCCGCGCGTTCTTCTCGCCGTGTTCCCGCTCCGTTCTGGTCTTCAGGGCGGACTGTGAGAGGAGAGGAGTTCGTCACGCTGCCCCGCCTACATCCTGGCTGCCCCGCCTACATCCTGACAGCTGCAGAGTCCTGACTTTTGGGGCGGCCGCCCGAGAGGAGGGAGGGGAGCGGGCGCCCGGCACACAGAAGAGCCGCATTTAAGTTTGTAAAGAGCCCCATGTGGCTCGCGAGCCGCGGCTTGCCGACCACTGTCTTAGGACAAGCATGTAGTAATTGAAGTCAGTACTTTTGTTCAACATAAATGTTAACCGTTAGCCGTTTCGAAAATTTTTAAGGCAGGTGGCCAGCATGATAGCTCAGCAATGAGTATTTTCAAGATGAGGTTAGCAACGGTAGCTTTTATAATTTCTCTCATGACAGATTTTTCTTCAAGTCATATTTTGTATACACTTATTTTCATGTACATTTTACACGAGCATTCTTTAATGTTTGTTCGAATATGTGACCTTCCTTCCTTTAGACAAATCACCATGTGCAGATTCTGCTCTGTCCACTGAACTGGTGCTGGAAATAATTAATCAAATCAAGAATGGTGCAGTTCCTTTCTCTGAACTGTGCCTCTTATATCAGCTCAAGAGTCTGCTTCTCCTACAGGATATTGAAAGATTAAAAGATTCATTGGACAGCTTCAAAGAACATTCCTCTATGCCTCTTGGTATGTATTTTTAACTGTTTTATATAATTCACTGACATCGGTGAACTGCTTTTTGCTTATCGGCTTATGCCAGTGGTGCTGTGTATTTCTTTAGAAGCCTTGGAATTAAAAGTACAGACCAGGTAAATTATAAATATATGTACTGGATGCACAAATATGTTGTGAATGTTTCATTTTATTTTCAAGGGTGAGAGGTAGAAACTTTGCTGCTGTTTAGATGGATATCTAACAAACATGTCATTCAATAATTTAATGTACATTCATAAAGCATCAGTCTTGTATAATACATTACTACTGAATATGCACAAATAAAAATATATCTCCACATTTTATATTACGAATCTCTTTGCAAGGCCTTGCGTTTCAAACCAGTCAATTCACCTAAAAGTTATTTCTTCAGTAGGCAGACTTTTGTGTAATAGTTTCTTACATCCCATTGGTTTTCTACATCCCTCAAGGATACTGCTGTCTAAGGAGTGTTCCTTTAGCTTGGGGGTTCTTGACATTTTTAATCTTAAAGTGGTTGTCCAGTCTCCTCTGAAAAAATAAGTCCGCAGCTACAAAAACTGTAGCTGCTGACTTTTAAAAAAACAGCCACTCGCCTGTCCCACGATTCAATGGTGTATTCACTCCAGCCAAGTTCACTGATCATCTCCTGTCTCTGTGCCGGCATCTTAAGTGTGGGGACCCTGCTGCAACAGCTTGCGGCTTCACAAGCAGCGCTGCGCATTGTGAATGGTTCCGCAGTCTTCTGGGACCTGTTGTTTGTCCCAGAAGACTGCGGGGGGGGGCAGATGGGGAGAACTTCTGCTTCTGATCACCTAGGCGGTTGGAGCAGAAGTGGGAGTGGGTAACTGTCAAAATCGGGTACCCACCCCCCCAGCCCTTAAAGTAAAACTTCCCCTTTTGGGTGGAGCTCCACTTGAAGACCCAAGAGAATTTTTATCAATATGTCAGAAAAGCCATACAAAGACAATAGCAATGACTGTGAAAAAAATGCACAAACAGTAATTGATGCATCTATGCAACTATTATACATTTTTGAGATGCAAGACCTGCACATGGGAACCACTGAATAACAACATTGGTGAAACTTGTCGTATGAGGCTAGCTAGCTAGCTACCCACAACTTGGGTTTACTTTCATTTAGTAGTAGACATTTCTAACTAACCCCAGGCCACCTCCCTTCACAATCTTGTTTGGTTAATTGCCCCAGGCTCATTTGTACTCTAGCACCCTGTGCTATTAATCATAGTCAATTTGCTATTGCTCACCAATTATCTGCCAATTTTTTGCTTAAGCACAAAGTCAAATGGGAATCCAACCCAAAGATATCTGCAAAAAATTTGGTCTCAACCCATAATTAAAGAAAAAAAGCCTTACCTTATTTCTCACGGGGACCTTTATCAAGCAAATTAGCAACAGAGTTAAGTGCAAATAAGGCTGCCTCTTATTTAGCAAAGTCTACGCAACAGTTAAACAGTGTAATTACTTGTTATGCACCTGGGCAGGCAAGAGGTTTGCAAAGTTCTGAAACCGATTTAGAGCTGTAGATAAGAGAATTTCACTCTAAACAAATGCATAAAGGATAATAAGTTCACCTTTTAACAAAAAATAATAAATGCTAATTTTTTTGCAGGTAAAAAAATGTGCATTTACTATTTTGTTTTCATTTCGGCAGCCTGTAATGCATTGCAAATCGCTGGTGGCATGCGGGTCTCCTGCAGATCTGTCAGTGTATCTGTGTGCCCGTATATCATACAGGCAAGCAGATACACTGATAGGAAGAATCAATGAACTACCACAGCGCTCCACAGCGATATGGCAGTTCATTGAGAACTACAAGGCGTCAGGCGCAAAAGCTGTTGGAACTTGTAGTTTTCCCATTCATAGAATCCTGTGAATCAGTGATGTGGCCGTGTGTGCAGAGCCTCGTACAACAACATTGTTTTTAAATTGTGACAGCTAGCACAGGGGAGAAGATCCTCCCTAGCTGTCCAAACAGGGGAGCAAGGGCTGGTCCTCTCATAACATGTTACATGAATAATCCCCCAGAGCTCCCCCTGGTGACTATCTTACCATATTGAAGAGGCTGCACCTGTGTCCTTAAAGGGGAACTCCGGTTGAATATTTCTGATGACATCCATCCATCCCGGGTCGATTCCATTCCTAGCCTGAGAGGCACCCATTGGCAGACCTTCATTTAACTATAAATTGCGCAATACCTTTGCGCGTCCGGTGAGTGCGCACTTTATCCATACTTTGCCTCTCACCTATTTCTTGGAGAAGTGATGAATTGGGATATCTGACGTCACGCTGAGCTCTATATACCCATTATGAACTTTTATCATATACATGTGTTTTGTGTTATTTATTGAGGACTATTCACATTTCATATTTTAGCTCTGCACTTATTTTACTTTAGTTGAACAACTCAGCCTAGCCTACAGCCATTCTAACACATGGGTGGAAAATGAAGGAGCAGTGGAGATGAGATAAACCTTCTTTCCCATCCTTCTCTCAGGAAGCTATCCGTGTTGGGTGAATAGTATGTATTCATACAATTGACCCTGATTGAATGGCACGTTCTACCTTTCCCTTTCTAAGTGAGTGCTACTGTGTAAGGATTTACAATAGGCTGATATCTAGAAAAGTTTAGATGATTATGATGGCTGTATGTAAAAATACTAGTAACGATTTGTATTGAATCCATAAATGAATTCAATGGTGTCATTTTATATACCTGATTGGAGTGTAGTTTTTAACTTCACTTTCAATATTAGCTATGCATATCAAACCTAAGGTGTTAAAAATTCTGCTCATTCCCACGATTAAACTAAAATAATTCTGCAGAGAAGGGAATTGGCAGAGAACCAGTGTAAAAAGCACAAGATGTACACTACTGATGGGTACTAAATATTTCTGGCATCTTCTGAAAGCAAAGCACAGCCCCCATTTTTAGTACATTAGTTGTGCTACTTATATTGCCTGTAGTAGTAGAGTAAAGTAAAGTACCAAGATTTGTAATAAGCCTGAAGAAGGGATATAAACCTTCCTGAAAGTTTCCATATTTAATAACGTACCGGTAATTAGCCAATAAAGGGTATCCTAGTACTTCAAATGTTCTGCAGTATACTGCCTTTGTAAGATGGGCTTCGGTTTAATCTCTATATGGAAAAACTACCGGAATTGTGAACAAGAGTGACAAATGTAACTGCTCATATATAGTACAGGTGAAACTCAAAAAATTAGAATATCGTGCAAAAGTTAATTTATTTCAGTAATGCAACTTAAAAGTTGAAACTAATATATGCGATAGACTCATTACATGCAAAGCAAGATAGTTCAAGCCGTGATTTGTCATAATTGTGATGATTATGGCTTACAGCTCATGAAAACCCCAAATCCACAATCTCAGAAAATTAGAATATTGTGAAAAGGTGCAATATTCTCGGCTCAAAGTGTCCCACTAATCCGCTAATTAAGCCATAACACCAGCAAAGGGTTCCTGAGCCTTTAAATGGTCTCACACTCTGGTTCAGTAGGAATCACAATCATGGGAAAGACTGCTTACCTGACAGTTGTGCAGAAAACCATCATTGACACCCTCCATAAGGAGGGAAAGCCTCAAAAGGTAATTGCAAAAGAAGTTGGATGTTTCCAAAGTGCTGTATCAAAGCACATTAATAGAAAAATATGTGGTAGGGAAAAGTGTGGTAGAAAAAGGTACACAAGCAGCAGGGATGACCTCAGCCTGGAGAGGATTGTCAGGAAAAGGCCATTCAAAAGTGTTGGGGACTTTCACAAGGAGTGAACTGAGGCTGGAGTCAGTGCATCAAGAGCCACCACACACAGATGGATCCTGGACATGGGCTTCAAATGTCGTATTCCTCTTGTCAACCCGCTCCTGAAAAACAAAAACTCAGAAGCGTCTTACCTGGGCTAAATAAAAACAGACCTGGTCTGTTGCTCAGTGGTCCAAAGTCCTCTTTTCTGATGAGAGAAACTTTTGCATCTCATTTGGAAACCAAGGACCCAGAGTATGGAGGAAGAATGGAGAGGCACACACTGCAAGATGCTTGAAGTCCAGTGTGAAGTTTCCACAGTCTGTGTTGATTTGGGGAGCCATGTCATCTGCTGGTGTTGGTCCACTGTGCTTCATTAAGTCCAGGGTCATTGCAGCCATCTACCAGGAGATTTTGGAGCACTTCATGCTTCCTTCCGCAGACCAGCTTTATTGGGATGCTGACTTCATTTTCCAGCAGGACTTGGCACCTGCCCACACTGCCAAAAGCACCAAAACCTGGTTCAATGACCGTGGGATTACTGTGCTTGATTGGCCAGCAAACTCTCCTGACCTGAACCCCATAGAGAATCTATGGGGCATTGCCAAGAGAAAGATGAGAGACATGGAACCGAACAATTAAGAAGAGCTGAAGGCCGCTATTGAAGCATGCTGGTCTTCCATAACACCTCAGCAGTGCCACAGGCTGATAGCTTCCATACAACGCCACATTGAGGCAGTAATTGCTGCAAAAGGGGCCCAAACCAAGTACTGAGTACATATGCATGCTTATACTTTTCAGAGGTCCGATACTGTTCTATGTAAAATCCTTGTTTTATTGATTGCATGTAATATTCTAATTTTCTGAGATTGTGGATTTGGGGTTTTCATGAGCTGTAAGCCATAATCATCACAATTATGACAAATCGTGGCTTGAACTATCTTGCTTTGCATGTAATGAGTCTATCTTATATATTAGTTTCACCTTTTAAGTTGCATTACTGAAATACTGTAAATGAGCTTTTGCACCATATTCTAATTTTTCGAGTTTCACCTGTATACCAAGGAACTGGTTGAGCGTCCAAGTACTGCCTGCTCCTAACTCAATTTGAAGCAAATGAGGCAGAGTATAACCAGCAGTAGTTAGTCACTTGGCTTGATCTGTAATGTACTCTGTACCAGATTCTGCAAGAAGGCTCTTCAGTTCTAATGAGAGTACGGAATATACCCCAGCATAGGAAAACCTTTATTCATTCACCATGGAATGTGTCAAGGCAGATGTTGATTGTCCAAGAACAGGTTGAAAGGTGTAAAAGTGTAAAGGAAAAGCATCTCTTTGGTCATAAACTTAGTGGTTCTAAACACTAAAGGTTTTTACCTTCAAGCATTCTCAACCTTGCACTGCCTGTTACCTCCCACCCTAATACTTCAGTCTTCATTGATCCAGTGCTATACCCAGGCTGTAAGTGTTCTCTCCCCTCTTCTAGGTCTTACAAGCTTTGCTGGTAGCAGCAGGAGCCTTTGGCTCCTGCTGCTGTCACTAAAATCCTTTAAGGAGGGAGTGGGACCAAGTTGGGCTGTTTGCATCTATGCGTGGCTTGCTATGGAGGCACACAGAAGAGGAGAAGCAGAGAGCACTGATGAGCTAGAAGAGGCAGTAAGGGGTCACTCTGTACAATACCACAATAAACTATAAAACTAAAAACTATATTGCAGACATGTCATCTAATGCATCAGGTCAATTTCTGCACTTTGATTTCTGGTTCAGTAATGCAGACATTGGTAAATGATTTAAAAACGCCATACCTAATCATTTGATTTCCATAACTTCAAAGGGGTAGGGATACCCCTGAATAAGAATGCACAGTTGAAGCAAAACAGACCTAGAAACACAATTTACAGTCCAAATAAGGGCCTGTCGTATAAATGTTTTTCACTTTTTTCCTATTGCTATCATCCAGTTTGGTAACATTAAAGCAGAACAGTAGGCTAAACCTTTTTTCTCTATTTTGGATAGTATAAGGAAGGGTTATAACCCGTCAGATTATTTTTTTGCCATCTGTCTGCTATTGTGGAGATTTACCTTCACTTCATGTCCCATAGCTAAAACAGGAAGTGAGAGGAAATCCCTGCAAGTTAAGGGTATTCCTTGGGGACCCCCAGGTCACCGGAACTAGTGTTCCCTTTGGAAGATTTCCCCTCTATTACTTTTCTAAGGACAACCCAAAATTTGGGTTTTTCTTTTACTTTCAAATTCACTGATAATGGTAAACAGAACAAAAAGAGAGGGTGCATCTCCCTAATGGGGCCAGAGAAAGCAAAGCAAACTGATAAGTGTTCTAATACCTCACCATTCTATCCAAAACTAAAAAAAATGTTTGCCTTTAGTTATATTTTAAATATTCTGTAGCAAGACTGCTTACAGTATACAAGCAGACAACATGAAAATAGAGGTATTAATCAACTACAAACTCGCTAGTGCATTTTAAAAGAAGTTGGCTTTATGTATAATTTAAAGAAATGATTTATAATTAAAATAATATATATTCCAAATTAGCAAATATTTATCCAGAGAGAAAAAAAATGTAAAAGCAGTTTATTAGAACAGTTCTGTTCAAATAAATAATATTTAAGTGTAACTGAAATCCCTAGTAACACTTTATCATGCAGCTAATGGAGTAAGCTCTTTTTAAACAGCTGGATATTTGCTGGATTTTTTTATTACTGAAAACATAGGTTCACACTAGATCTTCATGACAGTTGGCTCAACTGAGGTCATAGGTTTTACAGAGTACACCTGACCTTATGTGCTAAAAGTAGCATGCGTGTACAGATGTGCTGTCCCCTGAGCTGTAACAATTCCTGTAAAAATATACTTTGTGGACCCCTGATCAACACACCCTACTATACATCCAAAAGTATGTGTATGCCTTACCAAATTATCAAGTATGGATGTTTGCAGTGAAAGGTATTGGTAATGCTATAACAAACAAAATAATTAACAATTGTGTGCTTCCAACCTTGTGACAACAGTTTGGGAAAGACCTTTTTCTGTCCCAATATTACCATGTCCTGGTGCACAAAGTCAGGCCCATAAAGACAAGGTTTGATGAGTTTGTGGTGGAATAATGTGAGAAGCTTGCACAGAGCCCCGACCTCAACCCTACTGAACACCTTTGGGATGAAGTGGCGCTCATCCTAGGGGCATAGCATAGATCTTATGGCACATATAGGAAATGTCAGGTAACATTTAATTTGTGAAAAGGAGCTTATCTCCACTATGGTAGCCAGGGGCTTTCACAGCCAAGCTGTACAGTGGCGCTCATATGAATGAAATGTCAGTGGGAAGTAGCCTGGAGTAGTGAAAGTCAGTCTAGCTTGAAAGATCTGACACTTTCATACAAAAGGGCTGATTGTGCTTTAATCTCCTATATTGTGATGAGTTTCTTTACCTTATCTTAAATCACTGAAAGTATTTTTAAAAGCCTCTAGTGTAGATGCCTCAGTTTTACTTTAATTTCATTTTTATTTCAGCCTTTTGGAATTTCTTGTGCAGCAGAACTTAAGCCCTGTACACATGAGCCGAATATCGGCTAAAATCAGCCATTACAGTAGAAACAATAGTTGTGTCTATAGTGCTTGTCTGATGGAAGCCTATCTCATAACTGGCATCTGTTGATTGAGCATACTGGGAAAACCAGCAGCCGATCGGCATCCGATCAGCTCTTGCAGCCAGTCCCCATGTCAGAACACAATAGCACAGTAGGGATCACATAGTACAGTGACCTCCTCAGTTTTTTTTTTTGTTCACCCACTGAGTTGAAAGAGAACTTAATGTGTGTACCAGGCTTTAGGCTAGGACAGAACAGGACTGGTTGGCCAATTGCTTGTGCTGCAGTGCTTACAGTTAGGTCCATAAATATTTGGACATAGGCACAAGTTTAGCTTTTTTCAGGTATTTACCAAAACATATTCAAGCTATAGTTATATTATAGATATGGGCTGAAAGTGCGCACTCAGGTTTAATTTTAGGGCATATACATCCAAATTGGAGGAAGGGTTTAGGAATTACAGCTCTTAAGAGTAGCCATCGCCCTTTTTCAAGGGACCAAAATTAATTGGACAATTGCATATAATCATAAATAAAATGTTCATTTTTAATATTTTGTTGAGAATCCTTTACTGGCAATGACTGCCTGAAGTCTGGAACCCATGGATATTACCAAAGACTAGGTTTCCTCCTTTCTGTTGCGTTGCCAGGCTATAACTGCAGCTGTCTTCAGTTGTTCTTTGTTTGTGGGTCTTTCTGCCTTTAGTTTTGCCTTCAGCAAGTGAAATGCATGCTCAATTGGGTTGAGATCAGGTGATTGACTCAGACATTGCAGAATATTCCACTTCTTTTCCTTAAATGCTCCTGGGTTGCTTTTTGCAGTGTATTTTGGATCATTGCCCATCTGTACTGTGAAGCGCCATCCAATCAACTTTGCTGCATTTGGCTGAATCTTGGCTGACAGTATATCTCTAAACACTGCAGAATCCATCCAGCTGCTTCTGTCACATCATCAATAAACACCAATGACCCAGTGCCACTGGAAGCCATGCATGCTCATGCCATCACACTGCCTCCACCATGTTTTACAGATGACGTTGTGTGCCTTGGATCATGAGCTGTTCCAAGCCTTCTCCACACTTCTTCTTCCCGTAATTCTGGTACAGATTAATCTTAGTTTCATCCGTCCAAAGAATGCTTTTCCAGAACTGGTCTAGCTTTTTAGATGTTTTTTTCCAAAGTCTAATCTGGCTTTTTTATTCTTCAGGCTTATGAATGATTTTGCACCTTGTGGTGAACCCTCTGTATTTGCTTTTGTGAAGTCTTCTCTTGATTGTACACTTTGACAATGATACGCCCACCTCCTGGAGAGTGTCCTTCACTTGTCTGGATGCTGTGAATGGGTTTTTCTTTACCATAGAGAGAATCCTGCGATCATCCACCACTGTTGTCTTCCATGGACGTCCATGCCTTTTTATTTTGCTGAGCTCACCAGTGTGTTATTCTTTCCTCAGAATGTACCAAACTGTCTCTGATGAATTTGTTTAGTTTTTGAAGCCTTACAATGGCCTGTTTCACTTGCATGGACAGCTCCTTTGAAAGCAAAATGTAGGTTCACAGCAATGAATTTCAAATGCAAATACCACACTTAGAATCAACTCCAGACCTTTTACCTGCTTAATTGATAAAGAAATAATGAATGAGTAGCCCACACCTGGCAATGGAACAGCTTTTGATTCAATTGTCCAATTACTTCTGGTCCCTTGAAAAGGGGGGATGGCTACTCTTAAGAGCTGTGATTCCTAAACCCTTCCTCCAGTTTGGATGTACATACCCTAAATTGAGTGTGCACTTCCAGCCCATATCCATTATTTAGCTATAACTTGAATATGTTTTGGTAAATACCTGAAAAAAACTAAAATTGTGCCTGTGTCCAAATATATATGGACCTAACTGTATATGCTAAAAAGGTACCATGATATATGGCATCCCATAAGATATACTGGTGACTGGGAGGGTAGGTATAAGAATAGTAGATCTATATTATTGTGTATAGTGCTCATGTGTTAGCAGAAGTCTTCTGACAGAAGAGAGCAGGAAAGCACTCATCATTCTGCTTCTCCTCCCTCACTATTCATTCACAGGCTGGGTTAGAGACCAGACCTGTAAAGCTGTATTATTTAACTGCATAGATTAATCTCCAGACACCAGTCTGGGCCTGCTGTCTATCAGAAATACAAATCATTTGGCAGGTAAAATGGTTCATCTGTGTAGTTAAGTGTTTACCTTTTTTTTAATTGAATTCCTACATTTTCTTTACTGCAGTATATAGCATAAAATGTTAAAAACTAGGAAAATTTTGAAAATGTTGTTAGAGTATTTTTTTTATGACAGAAGTTGACATTGTATTCATTTTTCTTTTTCTTTTTTCTTTTTTTCTTCTGCTTCATCTAGGTCACAAGCTGGCACTACATTCTCTGTTTTGTTATTGGATTTCAGACATTTTACCAATAAAGACAAATATACATCTTGATGGGTATCTAAATAAATTTTAAGAAAAAAAATACATAACCAGCTTTACATGTACATAGTTTTGAGTTTGTTTATATCGGATACATAGTTTGGACTTGTGAAGAAAAACAAAACAAAAAAAAAAACTCAAAATGTAGAAAACCATAATCAATTTTTTCACTGAAGTAAGATTATTACAATACTTTGGGAGGTTGCTGTGTAGATCTATATTGTGTCCCTTTGAGTAGATTGACACTTACAGGCTTATTCAAATGCATACAAAAGACAAAGTTTTTATTTTAGTTTTCTGACAGACACCAGTGGGCTAAATAACGTTCACTTATGTCTCAACCACCCTAATGTAACACCTCTGCGCCTGAATTGTCATATCATGATTACTATCTCTACCCTAATTCTGTAACCATTACAAGGGACTTGCCAGCTTCTATATCTATCATTTAAATTATGGAGATAGCAGCAATAGTTTGTTAAAGCCCCTGCTACAAAGTGAAAACCTATCACAGTCTAGTTTTTTTTTTTTTTTTTTTCGCATTGGCTTTTTTTTGCATTATTGTTTTGCAGCATGACTGGAGTAAGTTTTAGTTTGTCAGATGTTATGTGCAGTTATTGAAAGCCCAGGGCCTGGGGCAGCAAAGTAGCCCAACACCATCTCACTAAAGTCATTGCACCAATCAACTGTCAGAAAGATGTGGGTACTTTGCAATGCTGCATTTGCTTTACAACAAATATATTGGGACTGATATTGTTCAGAAAGTTCCACAGTTATCTCATCTACCAATCTGAAACATTCTCGTTAACGACATGGGGATCGTGAGATGAACAGTTACAGCATTGTTTCTCCCTTGGTACTGTTTAGGGAAGTCATGTGCCTTTCTAATTAAGTTAAGTCATAAACACTTAAAGTGTTACTAAAACCACAACATTAAAATCAGTCTGTATATGCAGTAAAGCATGCTTGTTATACTCACCGTAGAAGGGGTTAATCCTCCATATTGTGTAAAAATGCTGTTTGATCCTGTCTTGTCTGATCCTCCCCTCCTTTTGCTGTCCCCAATCCATTTGCTGATAGTACAGAGCCCTAGGAGACTCTCTTCACATGCTCAGTTTAGTGTGAATTGCTAGAGAATTTTTTTGGGGGGGGGAGTGTGCATGTGATTGGAACAAGGCCAATCATCACTGTTAAGGCAGAGGATCGGGAGTCATGCAGCCTCATAGCACAGTCAAAGGAGAATATAAACTCCTCCTATAAGCTTTAACCAGCGCTTGGCCAGACACTGATAGAAGTCACAAGACTGCTATAAACCGCTAATGAGAAAGGGTATTTAGCAGTTTATATTTACTAAATTAATTGCACTTCCATGTTGTGTGTACTGTGGGAGACCAGATATAGTGAATGCAGAGTCCTGGGTTTAGTAACACTTTAACCTTTGTTGATGTAACAGGATCCTAAAATTCTCAGATTTTTATTTTTTTTGGCCAACTGCCGATCCTCTTATTTTACATTGGAAAATGATGACTGTTATAGTGGAATAGTGAATCTCCATGTCTTAGAAAAAGGTGCAATACTCGTTTCCTGATCTTGCAGAAGCTCCCTTTTGACAATGGTATTTTGTGCCTGTTGGATCTTTGCCTGGTAAGTTTAATGCTAATGGTCAACATACGTGTATAGAGAGCTGGCTTGGTTGTGATTATCCCTTTAAATGGCACGCTGAAGTTATGGAGCATTAAAGTTTGTACACAGTCCCAGATATATATTGTTAATGCATATGTTAAAGTCAAACTCCAACCACAACAAAAAACACGTGTTCCTTTTACATTTAATGCATTCTTACATCTTATGTCAGCCTGCATACTTTTATATTTCCTTAAAACTTCATAGATGTGTACACTGCAACATACAGTATTTGACCAGTTGTCCTGAAACTTCACTGCATTACCCAGGGTCAAGCATTTGTAAATCCAAAGTAAGTTTACGGCACTATCTCAGTTTGCCCATTCAAGGAATAGAACTTTTCTATCCACATGCATGGGGTATATAACCAAAATAAATGCTCACACTTCAAAATTCATTTTAAAGAGACCACATTGAAGATCTCCTTGGATGACCCTAAATAGCAGTCTTAAACACTTGTCACTTTACACAGCCATTCTGGAGTTCAATTCTTGAGTCAACTCTGCAAACCATTGAAGAATTTCACAACTTTAGCAGCACAGCCATAGACAGGATCAACTTTTAAAGTGTACATAAAGACAAAGTTTTTTTATTTTACATCACTTCCTGCTGCAGAAACTAAATTGACTAAATTTCTACAAAGTAAAGGGAAATTCCCCTTTTTAAGAGTTTTTAACAAAACAAATGTCACCATTGGAAGATTTGCGCTCTGATCCATGCATCAAGCTTGCATGGATGTAAAATCCTGAACATGCTTGGAGATCCATGCAGGACCCTGCAGTCGGCTGCCTGCAATTCATTTAAACAGGCGGGCTGCACAGAACACCGGCCTCATTCTGCATGGATGTACGGACCAGACCGGTATGCCTATGTGAAAGAGGCCTAATGATTATTTTGTACTAAGCATTAACATTATTCACAAATACATTTTTGATTTTTTTTTTTTTACTGTAAAAAATATATAAAACAATAAAAAATAAAAATCAAGAAAGTTTATTAATGGTTAGGATAAAAAAAATAATAGTTCAGGGGGTAGGGGGAAAAGAGTTAAAGAAGAACATCACCCATGTTCCTAAAAATTAAGTCAGCAGCTAAAAAGTTGTAGCTGCTGACTTTTAACAAACAGGGGCTTACTTGCCCATGGAGTCCAGCATTGACTTCCTGATTAGAGATGAGCGAATTATTCAAAAATTCGATTCGGCTGATTCGGCGAATTCGCGGAATAAATTTGATTCGAGTCTAATATATTCGCTGCGAATTTAACTTATAAAAAGGGTGTGTTTCTAGGCTTCAGAGAGCCTTTATATTAGTGCAGAACACTGTACCTTTAATTTAAATGCCCTTGGAGTCTGCTGGGGAAGAGAAATAATACTGTCAGTCAGTATGACATGCAGATGAGTGCCGTCGATCTTAGAATCACCGCACACTTCACTCATTTGGGCAGTCACGGGGCCAAAACCAGAGTGTGGAGCCACAGTGTGGCGGTGGAGGCAGCAGCAATGGGAGGCCATACAGCATCCTATGAAAAAATGGCGGCAGCAGCCCAATGGGAGGCCATACAGCACCCCATGACAAAATGGAACCCCCCAGCAGTGTGAGGAGCCCTGAAAGTGGCACATGGCAGGTGTGGCGATGGGGGAAGCAGCAATGGGAGGCCGTAAGGGCCCATGACACCTGGCCCTGGCAGCAGCATGAGAAGGCGGTACAGGGGCCCATGAAAGATAGGGGCCCTGGCAGCAGCTGAGGAGCGGTACGGGGGCCCTGGCAGATTAGGGCCTGGCAGCAGCAATGGGGGGCGTACAGGGGCCCCTGACACATTTGGGGACTGGCAGGCTGAGGAGGCGGTACAGGGGCCATGACAGATTACGGGCCTTTGGCAGCAGCAGGGGGGGGGAGTCGGTACGGGGGCCCATGGCGATTAGGGCCCTTTGGCAGCAGCAATGGGGGCCTACCAGCACCTATGACAAAAGGGAAAACCCACCAGCAGTGTGAGGAGCCCTGAAAGTGGCAAGGCAGAGTGGGGCGATGGAGACGCAGCAATGGGAGGCCGTACGGGGCCCCATGAACCATCGGCCCTGGCAGCAGCATGGGGGAGGCGGTTTTACGGGGGCCCCATGAAGATTAGGGCCTGGCAGCAGCATGAGGAGCGGTACGGGGGCCCCATGGGTTAGGGCCTGGCAGGCAAGGGGAGGCCGTAATCTGCCGCACCTATGACAAAATGGAACCCAAGCAGTGTGAGGAACCTGAAAGGGAAATGGCGAGTGTGGCGAGGGGGAGACGCAGAAATTTGGAGGCGTACAGGGACCCAGGGACCCCTTTGGGACCTGGAGCAGCTGAGGAGGCGGTAAGGGGGGCCCATGCAGATTACGGGCCCCTGGGCAGCATGAGGAGTCGTACGGGGGCCCATGGAGATGGGCCTGGCAGCAGCAAGGGAGGCCATACGCCCCCTTGAAAAAAGGGAAAAACCCCCAGCGTGTGAGGAGCCCTGAAAGTGGCACATGGCAGGTGTGGCGAGGAGCAGCGAAATGGGAGG